CAGTGCGTCAGTCAGCGGGCGCGTAGGGGGAGATTGGAGATTGTGGATATCTGCATGCGGCGACGACGAGCAGCCTATGGTGGGCGGAGTCTAACTGACAACAGGCAGCGACAGGTTGTGGCAACTTGCTTATAGCGTCTTACATGAATTGTGCAATTCAAATTCGACTAAATCGGGTGAATCAGTTAAAATAAACTACTATAAATATCAAATTTATTCAAAAATTGTATTGTATTTGTAATTTTGCATATTAAATACATAATTTTCTTAAATTTCTGCAAAAAGAATTATAATATTCGACTAATTCACTCAATCAAACAGCCCCTAAAGAACTTAATTCATTAGATTTGTCTAGTTTATGTGACAATAAGAGCATAGTGGATATCTTTTGCCCATCTTGAGAGTGTTGAGAATTTAACCTAATTGAGAGCCCTATTGGTAAAAAAGAGAATATTGAAGAAGTCTATGGGTTTATTCGTAAAACATTGTAATACTCTCTTTAAGCTCATATTATGAATGTACAAATTAGATTTGGAGCAATTCTTTCTTCTAATTCGCCATAAACCTAACTAAAACCTGAACCGAACCGAACCGAACCGAACCAAAGTTGTTATTAACCTTGAATGAACCGAACCGAACCGAACCTAACACATAATTCATAGCATTAAAAATGATACCCGAAACTTTTAATCAACTAGAGGATGATAAACAGATATGAACCTTGATCTGGATCTTCTCCATCCTCAGAGCAAATATCGTCTTCTTTCGGGTCCAAATATTCCGTCCGGTCCGTCCTCCGCTTCGCAGGACAAGAAGGTTTGGCGACCAAAGACTCGGCGCTGTCTATTTCCACTGCAATGATGTAACCGTCTGATTTGGGCGACTTGGGCGAGAAATAATCACAGCCATCCCGCTTTATCCTTGAGAGATTAAACTCCTGAACGAATTTGCGTATGTCGCGGGCTTGGAATCCGTGAGCGTGAATGCGCAGCACCGATTGCCTCTGATAGCAAACTGCGCACACCCACTTGTTGCTGCTCTTGTTCTGCTGCTTAACCTGCTCCAGCAGCAAGCACAATATAAGATGACCGGTAGATGCGAGAAGAGGAAGAGAGAGAGAGAGAGAGACCTGCATTGTAGAGCATTGCACGCACTGCACAGCCATAAAAAGAATCGGCATAAAACTTGGAGAAAGAGGATGCGAAGAGGAAAATGGGAAGGGGAGCTTTCCCGCGAAGATGACGCCGATGAAATAAATGGTGATTCGTGTGTGCGCTCGCGTAGCTTCAACTTAACATAAAACAAGGAGAAGGACTAATCAAAGCTTGCCACGCTACTCGCAGGATTCTAATCCGACGGCGGCAAAATTGCCGAACTTGAATTTGAAATAGCGCGGTTCGAAAGCAATCTAGGGAAGGAATGTGCCAAAATTAATACAATGCAAAAATGATTTTTAAGGGTGATTTAGGCTCTGTTTGGGGCAGCTTATCCGTTGTGACAACATTTTGAAAACGTCGTCTTACCGTTTAGAAACTACGTTTGAGCAGCTTATCTGAAAACTCGGTTAGTTTTTTACACTAAACACGGAACGGGAGTCGAACCCCGTTGTTCGTGTTTCCAGATAAGCGGCTTATATAGATAAGCACAAGCTGCCCCAAACGCACCAGTGTAAACAAATTGACCAACTAACATCAGTACAAGTGTATGTAAAACAAGTTCACAAGGAAGTTTTAAAGAAACAGATATACACAATGCTCATATATTTTTCATTACATTAATTTTATTGGTTGATCAGGATAACTTTAGATAAAGCTAACTTATCTGCCTTGTAAACTTCAACTTTGCATTAAATATATACAATCTCATTAGCAAAGCACTATAACGAAAAGAGAAAATGAATAAATGCTCAGAAAACTCCCCCAAAAATGTTCATCTGTGTATGCAGAGGAAAGAGCAAACAAGTCAACCATCAAACGTCACTAAATGCATATGCTGAACATGCACACAAAAAATTTCACAAAAGAAAAAAGAGAAACACATATGTAGACAGCAAATAAACCTAAAAACAATTCCATAAAGGAGAAAACTTCACCGGAGTTAGGCAGCAAATCAACAATGCCGACAATAGGGGAAGGGGAGCGGAACCAGGTTTCAGCCTTAACGACACATGTGGCAAACGAGGAGAGGGGTGAGGGATATATACGAGGATAGGAGTGCAGAATTACCAGAAATCTGAAGCGACGTCCAAGGCCCCTCACAACGGAGCACCAACTGCGGAACGCTCTTCACTCCTTCCATTTTAGCGTTCGACCAAATGGGTCCCCCATCCGGGAAACACACAAGAATAAAAAGTTTCCAAACGCGACATCTACGATTTTGAAACGCATAAGTGCAAAAACGGTATACCAAACAGTGCAGTCACAAATCACAACTGCCCAACCGCCCATTCTCGGTTGCGTTGGCAAGTTTAAAGCCAAGTTAAATAATAATAATAAAGTTTAAAGCCAAGTTAAATAATAATAATAAAGTTTAAAGCCAAGTTAAATAATAATAATAAAGTTTAAAGCCAAGTTAAATAATAATAACAATGATAATATATCATGGGGTGAGTTTACATAACACCATACAATTTTTATATATTTATGTATCTAACATCTAAAATTCCATATTTACATATATAGCATTAGAATCATTAATATCACACCAAAAATATTATATGTATTAGAAAGATTTACGTGCATACCATTCAATTCTTTTGTATTTACATATGAAACCCCAAAACTAAACTTCAATTTTTACATATATGTCCCTTGATCTATACATTGAAAGGTGTTCCTCGCTTTTTAAATGCTAGAATAGTGATTTTTTTTCTGTAATAAGAAAGATTTAGGTGCTGAAGCGCAGGTCTTTGGCGGAGGAAGCGCGGGTCTTCGGCGGAGCAGAGGAAGACCGGAGAGTCGGCGGTGGCAGAGAGGTACTTCGGCCCGAGGAAGAGCGAAGCTGGAGGTGGAGGCGAGCGGATAAGGTTTTAGCGCAAGCGGATAAGGGTGTGCGCGTAAAATATTCCCCAATCGCGTGTTTCGAACGATGATCGCGGGTATCGACCCGCGACCAGCTTTTCTCTAAATTCAAAATGGGATTATAAAATAAGCTGTGCAAACGCTGAAAACAAACGGTGCAGCGGTGTTTCCAAAAACGCCGCCGCACTTATAAGCTGCCCCAAACGAGCCCTTTGAGAGCGTCTGACACAGCTTAAAAGGAGCGGTGCGGTGAGGAAACACCGGTTATACCTGTTTGAAAATTATGGTTGTAATGCATTGTTAAAAAATTTAATTAAACGTGGCTTCACTTTTATTCGAATATTTTACTTTTTTACTACCCCACATTCACTCTCTATGCTCTCGTGTGCCCACTTCTCCTCTATGTGGCTCCTGTGGCTAATGTTGGATTTTTTGATAGTTGTTGGATGTGGTGGTTGTTGGTTACGGTGGTTATTGTGGTGAGTTGGTCTTCCTTCTCCCTCCCCCTTCTCTTCTTTGTCGTTGTGGCTAATTATTCTATCAGGACTCCAAATGGCTCTCTACATTCGGAGTCCAATGCGATGGTGACACGTGGCAACACTGGACCCACCTAAAAAAAAGGCGCACTCAGCTGGTTGACCCGACCCAAACCCAATTCGCAAAAAGCTTTTTTCGCGTATTGTTTGGCTATTTTTCTTTCCTGCGCGCAGCTGAGTACCTATTGTTCCATTGGTTTAGGGTTTACGCCTTCCATGGAGTCCTTGCCGAACAACGAGATGATAGATACAATGCAACCAACATTTTCTCCAAACTTCAAAGAGGAAGTGATTTTTACTGTTAGCTCAGGTTTTACTTTCATTTTGTTGTTGTTTAGGGCTTTTAGTTTAGTGTTACTCTTATGCAAGCTTGCTAGGTTTTACGGTGTTATTATGGTGTTACGCCGAGTTACTTTGTTTTTGTTTAGTTCAGGGTTTAGGGTTTTCAATGTGGTCTAATAGTGGTTTTATTCAGCAGTAGATGGTAATAGTAATATGGTGTATTTTGGTAGTTTTGTTTTTGTTTTATTTAAATATTTTATTGTATTATTCTTCCATTACTGTAGTGTTATGGTTAGTTTTAGTGGTGTTACTGGTAGGGTTATCATGTGTATTATATTGATTGTTATTGTAGTGTTATTTTCTAGTTTGTTTGTAGTGTTGTAGAATGACATTAAGCTAGTGTTATTCTTATGCATTATGGTAGGTTTTACTGTATTATTCTAGTGTTATTCTGGTGTTATGTTGGGGTTACTCTGTTTTTTTATATTAGGTTTTAGGTTTGTTCATTATGGTAGGTTTAATAGTATCATTCTAGGTGTTTTTTTGTGGTTTTGTTATAGCACAACAAATGATATTGTTAATATGGTTGCTATTTGTGGTGTTATGCTGGTGTTATTATGGTATTACACTGATGTTATGAACATTTGTGGTAGTGATATTGTGTTATTCTTGCTCTATAAATGTGTTGTTATTCAAATTGTGATAAAGGTCTTAATGAGGTTTTTACAAACGTGCAGTCATGTGAGCAAAGAACTATTTGCAGTGATCCAAATGCTGAGAAGTTTCTTAGCATCATCGTCCACAATGAGCAAGAAGCTTATGAAGCCTATTATGCCTATGCACAACATGTATGATTTAGTGTTTGAAAGGACCACAACAGTTATTGACCGAATTCTAAAAAAAGGAAGTCCAAAGATTTTCTTTGCGCAAAATCCGGTCACAAGAAGGAGTCTAACCTTATGAATACAAGAAAAAACAAAAAGGCTGACACAATGACTGACTGTCGAGACATTGTTCGTTCTTAGCATCATCGTCCACAATGAGCAAGAAGCTTATGAAGTCTATTATGCCTATGCACAACATGTATGATTTAGTGTTTGAAAGGACCACAACAGTTATTGACCGAATTCTAAAAAAAGGAAGTCCAAAGATTTTCTTTCCGCAAAATCTGGTCACAAGAAGGAGTCTAACCTTATGAATACAAGAAAATACAAAAAGACAGACACAATGACTAACTGTCGAGCAATTGTTCACTATGCAGCTGATCTAGAAGGCAACTCGACAGCACAGAAATTCATTGAAAGTCACAACCATCATTTGGCTGAATCTGGTGATAAGCATCTTCTTCGTTCCAATAAAAGGATAAGTGACCTAAATGCAGATGTGCTAAGATCGATGACAGAAGCAGGAATTTGAGCAACAAATGCATATAACTTCATTGCTCTTGAGGTTGGGGGAGCGGAGGATTTAGAATGCACGAAGAGGGATGATTCAATTTCATTCAAAGAGAAATAAGAGAAAAAATTGAACAAGGAGATGTCAACTCTCTAATATAGTTGTTCATGGAGAGGCAATGCAATGATAACATGTTTGCATAGGATTTCCAAATAGATGAGTATGATAGATTAACAAGTTTTTTTTGGAGTGATGGTTTATGCAAGTTAGATTATGACTGTTTTTGTGATGTTATAATTTTTGATACAAGCTATAGATTAAATAAATATAACTTATGCTCCTTTTGTGGGAGTTAACCACCACTGGCAAAACGTTCTGTTTGGTGTTGGCTTCTTGTCAAAAGATACTATTGATTCATTTAAATGGTTATTTAAAGCTTTTATAAGAGTTATGGGTGACAAACATCCAATAAGTATTTTCACCGATCATGACTAAGCTATGACAAGGGCCATTGAAGAGTGTCTCCCACAAACACAGCACAGATTATGCCAATGATATATACAAAAAAAAATTACTTCAAAAGTGCATTGTGGAGTTGCAATCAAGAGCATCAGTGGACTATTTTATAAGTGCATGAGTAAATGTGCTTCAGAGGAGTTTGAAGAGACCTGATCATTAATGATTTAAGTTGGTGACCTACATGGTAATGTGTGGTTGTTGGGGAAATACTTAACGTTCATAGAAAAACAAAAAATTAAAAAATCATAAAAAATTGATCGCACTGTGGCTGACCTAACAAAGATGAGGCGAAAATGAGTTTTGAATTTTAGGCCAAAAGGTTATTGGGAGAAGAATCAGAGATCCAAAAGTATATATCTGAACATTATTAAAACTGCTCCACTTTATTTTTTTATTTGTTAACCCTAACCATAAGTTCTGTGTATAGGAAAAGATTTAAAACAGACTACAATCCAAGAACCTGCTATTCCATCATATCCAATTTTGCCCGCTGTCTCATCCAGGTAAATCATTGAAAATCCGACATATCTTCTATTTCAGGCATTTCT